ATATATATTCCATTTCTTACAGTTTTATAACAATGATTTATTCCCATAAAAGCAATGTATTTATATACATATTACTTATGTCTGGTTATGTCTCTAGCTATAACAGGTCCATCTATGTTACTTTTGCACAAACATATGTTTTATCTTGGATAATTTTGGTAGCTTTCACATTTTTGTATAAACTACTTAAGATTTATTATGTCAACCATGGAAAGTTTAGTGGACTACCTATTCTCTTTGAGTGACATTGCTTTTTGTAAACAGTCTGACCAAGTTACTTAAGTCTCTCAAAACTAGTGCTATATGCCTTCTTTAATAGTGGGGAAAAGGCAGTTTTTAATCATTCTAAATATGATTTAATTGAAAGAGAACTTATGAAGCTTGCTAATTTAGTTGTTGAAGTTTGTGTGGGCTAATATTTAACTAAAGTGTTCTTAAAGATCTTAATTTTTGTTTCTAAGTAAAGCACAATGAAGATCATATGTTTCATATATAAGTATTAATTGATTTAATGTTTAACATCAATAGCTTAAAAGATGATAATATCACATGCAGGGTAATTTTTATTTAGATAATGAAACTTTAAAACTTCTTCACATTTATCATGTGAGACATCATGTGAGACGTCATGTGAGACATCGTGTGAGACATCATTAAGAGCAGGGTTTTGAGTCAGAAAGACAATGTTTGAATCATGATTTCAAAATCATTGATTTGATATCTGCAATAACTTTTATGAATCTCGAGGGCATTATGCTCAGCATAAAAAGCCAATCTCAGAAGGTCACACAGAGTATGATTCCATTCATGTAATGTTCTAGAAATTAGAAAATCAAAGAGATGGAGAAAAGATTAGCAGTTGCTGCGGTAAAGGAGGAGTTATGGTATTGGACGTGACCATAAAGAGCATGACACAGTTTCTACAATGTTACCAATTCTCTCAGTTGTGTTGGAAGAGTTCTGTATGTCAGTTGTGATTGTAGTTATACAGATCTACACATGGGTTCAAATTGTCTAGAAATACACACACACACACACACACACACACACACACACCCCACATATACATGGAGGAAGAAGACCTCTAGCTTAGTTAACAATGTTTTGTCAATGTCAATTTCCTTCTTTTGATATATTACTGTAGCTCTATAAAATCTCACCATTGGGAAAAGCTGGGAGAAGTATTCATAGGACTTTATGTACTATTTTTGCAACTTCTTATAAGTTAATACTTTTTTTAAGTTAAAAAATATGAGACGCGTGAGTCAATTGGAAATTTGAACACTAAATGGAGATTTGATATGTTGTGATACTAAGGGATTATTGTTAATTTTCAGATGTGATAAAGGTATCATGGTTATGATTTTGGTCTTTTAGAGATTAATAGGAAATAGTTGAAGATAATATGATGTCTGGGATTTTCTTCAAAATAATATGGAATATGGGGAAGGGGGTGGGAATACACTTGAAGTGACCCTGATTTGATAAGTGTTCACCCTGGATGATGAGTGTATGTGGAGTAATTATTTACTCTCTTCATATTCACATTTGGAATTTTCCAAAATAAAAATAGAGTCAACAAAAGTGATTTCTTCAACACATTTCAATATCAATTTTCCACATAAGCTTTATCAAACTGTACCACTTCAGACTAAATGAAAATTTCATATTTTCATTTGATCCCATATGTCAACTTACTCTCCCACAGAAACCCTTCAATTCTGCTGCCAGTGATTTAATTGTCAAATCAACATAGGGAAAACAGGCACAGCTTATGTTGGGAAGGCCTCCAAAGTAATTCATTTCAAAAATGTCAACTGTGCACTAGGTAAAATAAACATCATTTTCGTTTGTAAACCTGTTTTTAAATATATCATTTAATCCCTTAGAGTAAGAGTATGTCATTATTTCTTAAGAAATAGGTACAATATGATCATTTTAAACCAAGCATCAATACAGCAAAGGGCAATGTGTGGCAAGGCCCCAGAGGCTTTGTATTGTTATTACCTGGGTTGTAAAAACTCCCAGAAAGATGAAAAATATAAACAATTTTCTCAAGAAATATTCAACATTATTCTTTTCTCTATTCATTAAAAGAGCAACAACACATCTTTCTGCCCATTGCACTGCTTAATTAGTGTCTGATTTAGAAGTCTAGTAATCACTTTGGCACCAGTGGTTGTGTCTTGAAACATAACTACACGTCCTTTGTGTCTGTGCTACTGAAAATAGACACTGGCAATAGGCATCTTTTCATAAACAGTTTGAAAGCTGTCTTTAGCCTAGAAGCTATTAGCAAAATACATGTGTGAAATCTTATGGAGAAATTTTGCTTGCTGCATAAATTTTCAAAATTGTGTTTACCTTAACTTTATTAAGATGATCACTTGAGCAGACTTTTATATTAATGGCCCACTTTACATTGTTTTTCTCAATTAAAAATAAATTTTATCTTCTATTTAATTTTCTTCATTTTATTTATTTATTTATTTTGAGAGAGCACAAGAGAGCAGGGGAGGGGCAGAGAAAGAGAGGGAGACAGAGAGAATCCCAAGCAGGCTCCACACTGTCAGCATGGAGCCCGACACAGGGCTTGAACCCACGAACCACAAGATCATGACCTGAGTTGCAATCGAGAGGCAGATGCTTAACCAACTGAGCCATCCAGGCACCCCTAATTTTCTTCATTTTAGACTTTAACATTTTGGCAATACCTTATGGCTTCATCAAAGATTCCAAAATCTCTATCTCAAATCACCTGAAGTTCTTGAATAGGTTATTACAGAAAACAATATGTGAATATACAAATCACTTTACCTGTATTGCTAATGTTGCTTTGTACTTCTTACTGTACATTTGGGGTTTAAAACCCACAATGATGAGAGTTCCTTCAGTGTCAAAAGGAAGAAGTTTTCCAACCTTAGGTTTTACAAAAAACGCAGGATCACTGCCAGGTAGGAAGTATGCAGTGAATGGCTCAGGATTTCTAGAACAAAAATACAAATAGTAACCTTTAAGTTTTATCATTACTCTTTGTGAGAACTTGATGGATAGAGTTTATACCCTGTTGCACAGGACTACAGTTAAACATTAATGCTGCCATGCATCTGTGAGCCTGATGCTTGTTACTTTATCATGGTGAGGAGGCATTTTTAAAATTACTGAACAATGTCATTCTTCCCAGGGTGACAAGATGGAATTCTAAAGATTTTTTTAAATTATGTCTTATGTTTTTATTGTACAAAGAATAAAATGCTGTCTCTATAAAAATGTGGAGAAGTCAATGTCCCAAATTAAAATGCGATCATTTGTAAATAAATTCATATCTAAAATGCATGGCTAGAACAGCCATCAGGAAGCCTTTGTTTTTATGACTATTCCAATGTGATTGCTCACTTTCCTTTAGCTTTCCACTTGTGAAGTGAGATGAAAGTACTTTGCAGGTTTATTAAAAGATTCTTGAGCCTGAAGAGGAGTTGCTATGATCTGAAGTGAACGGAGAGGCATTTAGGATTCAAGTGACCATTTTCACATTAAGGTTGATTATATCTGAGATGAGGACTGAGAGAGAAGTTGAGAAACTCCTCTGGTAGAATAAAGCAGGGGAGGAGCACGCTGCATGGCAGGCTGTACATGAGGAATTTTGTAACCAAAGTGACAGGGGAGATGCAAGTAGAAGGCAAAGAACGGTTTCCTAGAACAGATCCAACAGTGAATCACAGAAAAGGAGGTGCGAGATTCTGGTCGGGACTCAGTGATCCATCCAGCAAATGTATTGAGTATCGTCGCAGAGGGTTTGAAAAAGTGGACTATGGATATGGATGGCCTGGACTGGAATCCCAGCTCCATCTAAGTGCATAACTTGAAACAACTTACCTTTTTGGACCTCAGTTTTCATACCTGTTCAATGAAGGTAATAACCCCTATAAAGCAATTAGCTCAGTACCTGACATGTGGCAAATGCTCTATATGGATTAATCAATATTAATACAGTCAGTCATTATGATTGTTGTTTTTAAAAATTTGTTTTTACATTTTTATTTATTTTTGATAGAGGGAGAGACAGAGCACAAGTGGGGGAGGAGCAGAGAGAGAGAGGGAGACACAGAATCTGAAGCAGGCTCCAGGCTCTGAGCTGTCAGCACAGAGCCCGACATGGGGCTCGAACTCACAAACCACAAGATCATGACCTGAGCTGAAGTCGGACACTCAACCGACTGAGCCACCCAGGCGCCCCTATCGTTGTTGTTTTAAAACATCTTACTACCAGTGCTAGGCAATGACGCATGATGCAATAAATAAGATGAATGTATACAACTGAATACTCGGGTTCTGGTGGAACAGAAGACCCAGAACCTCTTTTCTCCCAAGCAACAACAATACAAAGATCAATTCCAATTGTGAGACATTCAGAAACCAGTTGAGAGGCTTCTGTCTTCCAGGGGAGCACAAAATCAGCTGTTTGGAAGTCAGTAGAAAAATCCATGGCATGCTCTCAGCACAGTCTGCCCTCCTCACCAGTGCAACACCACATGATTAGGAAGAAATTCTCAGTTTCCATTTCTCCCCGGGGAAGGAAACAGAAGGGTGGACCAGATATCCAACAATTGGACTTCTGGTTGGAATGTGAGGACAGCTGCCCAAGAGACTGGCTTCTGTCTTGCTTATCTTTAAGTCCTGATGGGACCTGACACACTGGAGACGCATGGGGGCTTCTAAGAATAAAGTGGGCAGGGTGGTAGTGCTCCAGAGGTTCCAGGGTAGAGCAGACAGAAATTGTACAGCTCAAAATCTTCTCCCTAAGTGTGGAAAAAGAAGAGTGTAACATGTGTCCAATTTTCTGGATTTTCAGTGTGCTGCTCAAGGTTCTGGTTTCTATCTTGTCTCAGAAAACTGACAGAACGTGGCAAAATCTAGATGCCTGGAGGCTGCTGAGGGGGAAAATAAAGATCTGGGTGGTGTGCTGCTGCTTCAGAGTGCCCGGAGTATAGAAGACAGAGAGCAAAAGAGCAAGAAGCTAGGAACTCCTGAAAAAAAAAAAAGGAAACCAGCAAACTCCTTTAATTAGTAATCTTCACACACAAGTTCAGAGAGATATACTCACAAAAAAAAATCTGAGAGGTCCCCAGGATCCCCACTTGGTCTAAGTGGTGAAGATCTTTCCCTGAAAGAAGCTAGTCCATAAAGACCGAGAGAGATAGCTATTTTTCCAAATGTGTGGATACCAACACAAAGTTAGAAAGAACATGAAGAAACAGGAAAAAATTACCCAGTTAAAGGAACAAAAGAGACCTCTAGAAACACACCATAAAGAAATGAAAGTATGGGAATTAGTGACCAATTATTCAAAATAACTGTCATGAAGATGTTCGACACTTTCAGGAAAACCAAACATGAACAAAACGAAGAGGCAGAAAATATAAAAAAGGGCAAACAATTTTAGAGCTGAAGACGGCAATAACTGACCTGAAAAATTCACTAGAGGGGTTCAACCATGGATATATATGATCAAGCAGAAGGAATTAGGGAGTTCAAAGACATGTCATTTGAAATTATTCAGTTAGAGGAACAAAAAGAAAAATATATTAAACAGAGTAAATAAAATCTAAATGACTTATATAACAGCATCAAGTGGACCACTATACATGTAATGAGTCTCAAAAGAAGAGGGAAATGAGGGCAAGAAAACTTACTAAAAGAAATAATGCCAAAAAACTCCCAAATCTGAGGAAGGAAAGAAACATAGACTCATGAAGTCCAACATATTCCAAATGGGATGAAACTAAAGAACTCCACAATGAAACACACAATCAAAATGTCAACAGTTAAAGACAAAAAGATAATTTTGAGAGGAGCAAAGGAAAAAAGGATTCCTCATATACAAGGCCACCCTTGTAAGACCATTAGCAGATTCCTCAGTAGAAACCTTGTAAGCCTGAAGTGAGTGGGATGATATATTCAAACTGCTGCAAACAAACTGTCAACCCAAAATACTATATCTAGCAAAACTGTCCTTCAAAAATGAAGAAGATAAAGAATTTCTTGATAAACAAAAGCTGAGGGAGTTAATCACCATTAGACATGTCTTACAAAACATACTAAAGGGAGTCCTTCAAATTAAAATGGAAAGATGTTAAACAGCAACACAAAAGTATTTGAAAGTCAAAGCTCACTGGTAGGGGTAAATACAAAGAAAAATACACAACACTAAATACTGTAATGGGGGTATACAAACCATTTTTTTATTAAAAAAAATTTTTTTTTAATGTTTATGTATTTTTGAGACAGAGAGAGACAGAGCATGAACGGGGGAGGTTCAGAGAGAGGGGGAGACACAGAATCCGAAGAAGGCTCCAGGCTCTGAGCTGTCAGCACAGAGCCTGACGCGGGGCTCGAACTCACAGACTGTGAGATCGTGATCTGAGCCGAAGTTGGACGCTTAACCAACTGAGCCACCCAGGCGCCCCTATGAACCATTTTTTAACTGTGGCATAGAAGTTAAAAGACAAAAGTACAAAAAATAAAAATTATAAAATGTATTAATTGTACACAATATAAAATGTGTAATCTGTACATCACTAACAAAGTATAGAGATTTTGTATTCAGTTAAAGTGGTTATTAGCTTAAGAGAGATTTTTTTTAACCTGTAAGTTGTTTTATGTAATCTTCACTGTAATCACAAACACCTATGGAAGATACCAAAAAGAAAAATGAGAAGGGAATCAAAGTGTGTCACTAAAAAAAACCCATCAAAACTACACAAGGGAAGACAGCAACAAAGGAAAAGATGGACAAAAGAACATAGAGAAAACAACAAAATGACAACAGTAAGTCCTTCCCTACCAATAATTATTTTAAATACCCTACCAATAATTATTTTAAATATAAAACAGACACCCCAGTCACAAGACACAGAGCTAATTGAATAAAAAACAAGATCCAAGTATATGCTGTCTACAAAAGACTAACTTTAGATTTAAAGATACACATAAGCTGAAAGTTAAAGGAAGGAAAGAGATATTCCATGCAAATGGTAAACAAAAGAGAGTGTGGATAGCCTTACTTATATTAGGCAAAATAGACTTAATAAAACTCTGTAACCAGAGACAAGGACATTATATAATGACAAGATCAATTCATAAGAATGATATAATAATTATACATGTCTATGTATATATGCCCAACAGCAGAACACTTAAATGTATGTACAAAAGATTGACAGAATTAAGGGAGAAATAGACAAATAGAATAATAGAAACAACATCATATTCAACACTGAAAAGCCAAAGCTTTTCCTCTAAGACCACTATCTCTGTTAGCAGATGACATAATCATATATGTAGAATGATTACACAAAAAATCTCTTAGGACTAATAAATGAAGTCAGTAAAGTTGTAGGATATAAAATCAATATGTAAAAATCGGTTGCATTTTTATACAATAGCAATGAACTATTTGAAAAAAAATGGAGACTTCAATACCCCATTTACAATAATGGATGGGAAACTCAGAAGATCAATAAGAAAAAAGAAGACTGGAACAACACTACAGACCAAATGGTCTGACAGATATATACAGAACATTCCATCCAACAGCCACAGCATTTACATTCTACTCAGGTGCACATAGAACAATCTCCAGGGCAGATCACAGGTTAAGTCACAAACCAAGCCTGAATAAACTTAAGAAGACTGAAATTATACCAGCTATCTTTTCCCACCACAATGGAATAAAACTAGCTATCAAGAGCAGAAGGAAAACTGGGAAATAAACAAATGTGTGGAAATTAAACAACGAACTCTTGAACAACCAAGGAGTCAAAGAAGAAATCAAAGACATATTAGAAAATATCTTGAGACAAATGAAAATGAACATACAACATACCAAAGCCTATATAATGCAGCAAAAGTAGTACTTAGAGGGAAGTTTGTGGTGAAAAAAACCCTACATTAAAAAAGAACAAAGATCTCAAGTAAACAACTTAA